CAATTTCTTGAATTTTTGGTGAAAATAGAATCCTTTTGTAAGGAAAATGGATGAAGGTAAAGGGTCCTATTTTATTCAATTATAGGTTCTGATCATGACAAGTTCTTCAGCTTAACTGAAAAGATAGGTGGAAATTAATGATTGAACCCTGGACCTGGAGGTTCTGTTCCCAGAAGTGTCATGCTTGCCTTCCCAAGCATAAATTAATGATACACATTGGGTTTCTTCATTTTCTTTGTCTATGTAATAATTTCCATCTTCAAAAATATTAGCCCAGTTCATTAATTCACTTAAGATATTTTTGAAGACCAGTAGGTCTTTGGAACAAACTGTCAAACACAGGAACACAGGGTACTCTTTTGAAGGCACTAACACTTGATGGTGAGGGGAATAAACAGAAATGAAACCATTAACATTGATGACCTCCAATGGGTACAATGAGTTTATGGTTGGATGTGACAATGGTGGAATTTTGGGTAAAAAATAGCAACTTTTCTTATTATTTTTAATGTTTTCATACTGTCAGTACATTATATAGCAACAATGTATTAATTTTGTAATTTAAAACTAAAAAAAGATAAAAATAATAGACTTCAGAAAGGAAAAAACTAATTAAAAAGAAGTAAGACTACTGAAAATTAGCCCAGTGGTATGATTTTTGCATGAACCAATTAAATATTTCAAATTTTCTTATATTTTAGACGTACATTGGATCAAAAGACATAATACAACATGTTAGATGTGATTCCCTTTCTACAGACAACTCTGAGTACTTAGAAATTTATGAATGAGTAATAGGTAATATTTAAAGAAAAAAAGTGAGAAAATTATAAATAAATGAGATGTGGTTTGAAGAGCTTAAAAAGAACAAAGAAAAGATTATTGGCATTCCTATATCGGACTGAAGGTTAATAAATAAACTCTATCATTTCAAGATGAAAAGAAAGGGAAACATTAAAGAAAATGTTGGTATTTTGCAATAAAGACAATGGGGTGTATATAGACTTATAAACAGAAATAAAATTTTAAAATATTGAAGAGAAGCTAAGAGGAAAAAGGTTAACATTTATTGAGACCCATCCACATACTAGAAGATCTCACTTAATCTTTCAATACTCCTATGCGTTAGTTTTATCACCCTCATTTGAACGCTCAGAGATGTTTGTGGCATGGCTAGGATCACAAAGATCAAGTGCAAATCTTTGCTCTGCTTCTGTCCTGCGTCCACTGCTTTTTATTCAGACACCAAACTGAGGAGAGACACCACAAAGTGATGAGAGCCTGAGCAGCATTCAGAGGGCAGGGGAAGGGCAGGGGGCACACATGGGAACAGAGGGAATAGAGTGTGTGTGTGTGTGTGTGTGTGTGTGTGTGTGTGTGCATGCGCGCTCACGCACGTGTGCTGGCATGCGGCTCAGCCACTGATAAACCTTTTCTCTATGCAGTGAAAGACAAAATTTAAAAAGTGACCCAAGTTTGCTACCTGGGTGGGTGTGGTTTTATGGATGACTCATATATAGAGTAAAAATAAAGTGCATTCCATTTCTAATTTGTTCCAAATTTTATGCCATGGTAGAATGTTTTAAAAGTAAAGATTCTTTTTTTCTGATTATAAGTAAAAATCTACATATAAATATTTGAAAGAACCAAAAAGGTTACACTAAATCAAATATTATTCCACTATTGAGAGATAACCACATTTTATTGCCATTCCTTACAGTGTCAACATTTTATTGTTATTCCTTTATAGTTTAAAAATGCAGATGTGTTCTAATGGAAATCAAGTGCAGTTGTAGATGCTTTGTATGTATCTGCATGTCATGTCCTTAAATAATATTAAAATAGCATTTTACTTGGTTATATTATGTTCCATTATATAGAACTTGAATTAATATTCTCTTATTTTTGCTCATTTAAGGGGTCTGTTGCCAATATTTACTACTTTAAATAATACAATACAAACCTATCCTTCTACATAAATCTTGGCCTGCCATCATTTATGATTTCTTTAAAATATCAGAAATTAATATCAAATATTTATCTTTTACTAGTTTTAAATGGAAAATAAGCTTATTGCAAAAAAAACGTGAAAATGCAAACTATGTTTACCATTAGACAATATGTAAAGAAAATAATCACCAGTACTTTTCAGAGATAAGTCCTGATAACATTTTTATGTATACTTGGGATTTTTATCTGTGTAGCTGTAATTGCTCATTAGTTTGATTTTCGATACTATCTTTGCCACATATATTTTTAAAACCAGGTTTATGTTTGTTCATCAATCATTACATCTTTGTCTAAATTTGGGATTAATTTATGCAACAGGAAATTATCATCTTTTTACTTAAAATTCAAAAGAACATCTTATTAATACAGTGTTTTAGGTGACATAGCATTACTTTTGTGTAATCATTATTTTTCCAATTTTTTCCATGTTTGATAATGTACTCAGGATATCTACTTTTACTTTTAGGAGTTTTGAACATACTTTTTTTTTCCAGAGAACCTGACATTTTTCCTGAGAATTCTAAAATTTATCAGCATAGTGATTACATAATATAATATCCTAATATTTTAATGTCTTTCGTATCTGTAAGTGTATCTTATTAGGTACACTAATTAGTGGTTATTCACCTATCAAATACCCAGTGGCTCCCCACTGCTCACAAGAAGAAAAAAGAAAAAAAAGATGATGTCCGAATTATTTACATGCTATTCCAGATCTCCACAGCTAGGCACTGATCTACTTTTCTAATTTTTCTTTCTTCATTCTCCAATAAATTTATGTTTTATAGACACCCCTTACCATTCCCTTAGAACAAAGAATATGCACTTCTGTGGTTCTGTACATTTGTGGGTTGAATTTCCCCAAATGACAATTCACTGTCTGCTCTTTCTTGGCTCATCAGAATAAGTACCCTGTCCTCTTTGCATGGAGTCTTCTGATACACCATCACAACCCCACCAATTTAAGGGGCAGTGTGTGGTTTCTTTCCCATTTTACTCAAAGCCCTCTGTGCTTCGACTATGATAACATTCATTCTTCAGTGCTTTCCATGTCCCTACTTGCCTGTAAGGTCATCCTAGATAGCAGGACTCTGGACAATCATTTTTATGTCAACTAACCTACTAAAAATAAAAAACAAAGTCAATTTAAGACCAGACTGGTTGGTTGCTTGTGTTCCCTAGAAATAAACACATCATTTATTTAGTCTCCTTTTCCTCACATAATGAAGCCAATCCAAATAATCTTTGTTTACTGTAAAATTGTCATAACCAATTGATTTTGTTAGAACCGAGATCTTTCACTGTCTACCATAAGAGTATAATCATAAATATAAAAACCTACATCTATGCCATGAATGGCTCCTCCTTCAATGTAGTGACTTGTGCAGTGTGCAACCTATAGTACCTTACATACATTACCATCCATCTTCGTATTATATTTTTTTCAGTGTTTATTATTTACTTTAATGTATGAGCCAAGGACATAAATTAAATATATTATGTGGTTTATTTGGAGAGACTGCAAACAGTATTTTCCTTCTACCAGAAAAATTAATCTGAAGAAAGCTGATCCCAGTAGGAAATATTAACTATCATCCTTGCATTAAAACTTACTTATCACAATCACTTTTCACTTTTCTTTGAAAATCTTTCCTGATTATTTTAAATGGTCCTAGCCCTCTCCAGTCTAACCATGCAAAACATCTATGTCAATCTATATTTGGAACCAAATGCACATTACCTGTACATAATATCAACATTGTTATTTGTATATTGCTCATATATCTACAAAAATTATCTCATGATGTAAATATATCAACATTAACACTTAGTATATGTATGATCTAGGACAAGTTATTTAAACTCTCCAAATCCGTTTCCTTATTTACATAATGGAGAGAATACTGGTCTTGTGTCATTGTTGGAATAATTAAAGGACAGAGATTATCCTAAGTGTGCTAAACAGTGCCTCCTGTCTTCAGAGAAAATAGGACCCCACCCATCGTCCTTACTGAAAATGTGGACCTACGCATAATAATGTCCTCTCATCCATACAGGTCACAAGTCAACCAGTGGACATGATGTTGAACCAATCAGATGCTCTCTCTGAGAAATTAGTACATTGAAATAGTAGATAATTTCAGTTAAATGGACTATGGAAACCTGACCAACATGGTCATGTAGTTAGAGCCAAAGAAGATCACAAAATCACTGCAATACCACAGCATCCCTGGCGGCTATGAGAGAAAGATGGGTCATGGTTAAATAAAGGCAGACATTTCTTGATAGAAGAGGGTAGACATGCAAACAGAAGAACTGAAAAGGAAAGAAAGAAAGAAAGAAAGAAAGAAAGAAAGAAAGAAAGAAAGAAGAGGAAAAGAGAAAGAAAAAGGATGGGTGGATAGAAGAAAGGAAGGATGGAAATTAGGAAGGAAGGAAAGAGGGAAGGAAAGAAGGATGGAGGAAGGAAAGAAGGAAGGAGGGGAGGAAGGAAGGAAGCAAGGGAGGAAGGAAGGAAGGAAGAAACGAGAAAAATGCTTAGACCCAGGAAAGAGAAATAGAGTAGCTATTTTCGATATCACATTAAGCCTTGGAGATAACAAGCTTTCTATTTCGAATAGATTTTTCTATATCTTTGTAACAAATTCTCCACTGAGGTTCAGTTTTTTGGAATGGTTTTTGAACCCAAAAAATCCCTTATTTGAATGAAAAGAGCATAGCCCCTTTTCTAGTCCACACTAGACACACTAGAATGGAAGTTTTCACTAATCAAGACTATAAACTCAAAGGAAAGGATGACAGTACAACCATTATTTATTTTAATTTAAAAAAATCCATTATCCACACCACATAGATGAATTTTGTTTCTGCTAAACTGAGTTGCATTGCTGGTCTCATTTTGGATTCCTGTAAATACAATCCAAGCATGAAGGAAACAGACTTCTCCCCTACCCATGCCTTTTTGCCTATTGAAAACTGTAAACACTTACAAGATTCAGTGCCATAATGATTACAAAATTGATACAGACAGCAGCAGCTGATGTTGCAAATTGCCAGTGTTGTTTGATGAAATTCCACTTGAATGATGCAAACTGTTCCATGACAACCAGGCGATACACGACAACAGCAAACACTGCAGTGATCACCAAAGAAATCTACAATATGGGAGACCAGAGGAGACATCCATATTTTGCATAATTCACAAACCAAAAGCAATACCATAGATTAATATACTGCCCCCACAGAGCTAAAGGAGTTGCCTTTTCCAAGAAAGAATACATCATTTTTTTTTTCTTTTAAGGGACTGAGTTACATTAGAGTCAAAATACATATTGTAAGATTTAAGTTGCTCAAATTTCCACTTTCAAGTGGAATGCTTAGTCTTAATAAATTTCAGGGAAACACAAAAAATATCCATTTTATCTTAGATGATTTTTGTATCTCTCAAAGAGTGTTTTATTTAAAGACATTCCCAAATTGTCTTTGCAATAATTCATGACTTTCCGTGATTTTAATTTTGTTTAATAGTATGTAGTACCAAGGTATTGAGCTGGATATGGTTTCTTGCACTCTGAGGGCTGCAAAATAAGTTGGTATCTTAGAACTTCCTTCTAAACATGGAATCCAACAACATTCTGATACTGATGGTTATACTTTACCATGAAGAATATTCCTGAGATAGAAACAAGAAGACGAGTGACTTTGTCTGAGGAAGGCTGATGTGGCTCAGGTTTCCCACTAATGGGATTCACTCTCTCCATCTTATAATACTTGGCTTCAAACTGGGGACGAAGTGTTTCCTGGAAGAGAGACTAAAGTTACCTACATATCAAAGTCATAAATTAAAAAAAAAATCATCCAGTGGTTGATACAAAATTCCTGGATTTTGGCTTCCTTTTATAGCAAGTCTTGGAAAAGAAGCAACTTAAAAAAAATAAAATGCCAATTATTTTCCAGATAATCCCTAACATATATATTAATTAGCACAATTTTTCAGTAATGTCATTTTAGGAAATATCATGGAAGTGCTTAAAAAAAATTACATAACTCCATCAATGAGCTCTCTTCTCTTCCTGAAATAAGAAATGTTGTTAGTAAAAAACACCAAGGGAAAATCTAATGGCGTTTAATTGCTTCCAGCTAGGATGTTAAGGACAGTGAATATAACATCATGTGTTATCCCAGTTTCTCTATCTCCTGGTTTCATAACATCTTACCTCCTCTTCTTCCCATTCAATAAGGTCCCAAGTATAGGTCAGTGTACTTCTTCTCCTTTTCCAAAATTCCAAGAAGACTGTGGCTATAGATAATATTAATTATTATTATTATTATTATTATTATTAATTATTTACCCTTTACCCAACCACATCACATTCTTTCATCATTGTTTTTCTTTTTTGGATTAATGCATTTCCACTGCATTGTTAAATTATTAAAACAAATTAAATTTGTATTGTATTTATATAAAAGGACTTTTATTTTTCCCTCACCCCTTCCTCCATATCTCTGTACATTACTGTCAGCATAAACTCCTAGAAAGTAATTTTTTTCAACGGATTATAAGCATAGACCTTTGCTAGTATGACCTATCAAAGTGATGCTACAAGAGATGGTCAATATTAGTGAGCTAAATAGATATTGTCCCTTTTGACTTGTATATGTTTATTCAAAATCATCTAAAAGACCTAGAGAACGGCTTCTCCAGTCAGGAATGACAATAAAGACTAGATGCTACTCCTCCAGAACCCAGAGAGGGATGGGTTGGGAAAGAGAGAGGAAAAGCACAAGGTTATCATGGTGGAAGGAGAAGAAAAGAAAAAAAAACAGAGAAAACACTTGGATGCATTTTCTAGGTGAACTTAGCATGGACTACAAGGGCCTCCATGGAAAAAGTAAAGAAATGCCTGAACCATAATGTGAATATTCTGTGTAAACAATTAAGCGAAAGATTGATTTTTTTCTGGTAAGTGGTCTTCATCTTACAGCAAGCATTCAAGACTTTGTGGACATCATTAAGACCTCATACATGCATTCTTAAAAGCTGTGGTACCATTCATCCATCTAACCATCCATCCATCCATTTGCTGTTCTCTCATTTGGGGCAAGGACCTCTAACCTCAGGGATCTTCTTATCTGGTAGAGTGAGACAGTCATCTAAATAAGGTTAACTTACATTGTAGTAAGAGTTATAATGAAGGAAGAATTACAGCAAAAACATAGAAACACATGTTTTTGGGAAAAGACCACCACCACCACCACAAGCAGTTGATAGAGCAAAGGAGTGAGGACTTTTTTCCTATCTGTGAATACAGCCTCTTGCCTTCTTTGCAAAAGAATTCCAGGGGAAGATGATTCTGAGGTTTTGTTGTCTTTTTCTTTATAATTAGAAATCAGCCTTAATATTGGTTAGAAAATACAATGTTCATAATCACATTGTCTTATATCTCACTTTCTCACATATGATTTAATTTTGTCACTTTCTTTTTTTTTAAAGTTTATTTATTTTGAAAGAAAGAGAGAGTGAAGGCATGAGGTGGGGAGAGGGGCAGAGAGAGAGGGAGAGAGAGAATCCTAAGCAGGCTCCGCTCTGTCAACGCAGAGCCCAATGTGGGGCTCGATCCAACAAACCATGAGATCATGACCTGAGCCAAACCAAGAGTCAGGTGCTTAACCAAGTGAGCCACCCAGGTGTCTCTAATTTTGTTACTTTCATAACACAAGTAGATATGGCAGGTATTACTCTCATCAGACTTTTGAAACAAAGGTATGAATTTACTGTGTCCAAAAACACATAGCTAATAAATCGTAGAGTCGGGACTGAAACTCTTGCTAGTTATTGTCCATACAATCTTTATGGCTTTAATTTTTTCCCCAGTCCTACTCTATATGTTATATACTGATTTTCTATACAGTTTTATAAGAGGAAGTATGGCTAAAAGAATCGAGATAGCCAAGCGCATTGACAGGAAGATAAATGAAGTTTTCCAAATACTTGATCTGCTATAAAAAGAGTTGGCCATGATTACTGTTACCAACAGGGAGATCTAGAACTTAAAACATAGGTGGGATATAGAGGAAGTACACTGAAGGAGAGACACAGAGAAATAACTTATTATGGAAGGAAAACTGAAGAAAGAAAAGCATTGTGTTAAAATAGGCAGCTATGATGTGAAGTGATTATAAGCCTAGGACTTAAAGTCTTTCATACAGAACATGACACAGAATGTGCAATATAATTCTAATTATTACTGACTTCAGTCAAGGTTTAAAGTTTAAATGTGTCACGTGGTCATTTCCTAATGTATCTTTCCGGCAAAACTCTGCCTAGAAGCATCTCCCAGAAAATCTAAGAAATAAAGGTAATCTTGGTTTTTGTGAGCCTGAAGGCTGGCTTTGGTGTAATTTTATTTTATTTATTTATTTTTTTAAATTTTTTTTTCTTTTTTTTTTCCACGTTTTTATTTATTTTTGGGACAGAGAGAGACAGAGCATGAACGGGGGAGGGGCAGAGAGAGAGGGAGACACAGAATCGGAAACAGGCTCCAGGCTCTGAGCCATCAGCCCAGAGCCTGACGCGGGGCTCGAACTCACGGACCGCGAGATCGCGACCTGGCTGAAGTCGGACGCCCAACCGACTGCGCCACCCAGGCGCCCCTGTAATTTTAACTTTCACAAATCTTTGTCCTTGGGATAAACTAGGCTTCGTGTTAAAGATCCATTCTCAGTTTGAGATATATTCATTTTATTCACAAATTATTTAAACTCAAGTGAATCAATATTCTCACTTAAAAATTTTTTTAGTTAGAAGGAGGTCATGCAATTTATCAGTATACCAAACATCAAAGAAGGAAGGAAAGTACTACTTATTAACTCCTACTAAACTTAATAAAAACAAAATTAATAAAATTAGCTAACTTTGGAAATTGGAATAGTGGTCGCTTCTGAGGCTAGGATGACTGACAGGTGGTATGAGAGGACTATTGGAGGTGATGAAAATATTCCATTTATTTTTTTAAAGTTTACTTATTTATTTTTGAGAGAGAGAGAGAGAGAGACAGCATAAGCAAGGGAGGGGCAGAGAGAGGAGAGAGAGAATCCCAGGCAGGCTCTTCACCATCAGTGCAGTCTGATGCAGGGCTCAAACACATGAAACTGTGAGATCGTGACCTGAGCTGAAAACAAGAGTCAGATGCTTAACCTGCTGAGCCATCTAGGAGCCCTGAAATATTCCATACTTTTAACAGGAGAGGTGGCTATAAAAGTTTGTCATTTTCAAAAGTGATCAAAACATATCTACGGAGATTTCATTGCATGTGAATTATACCTCAAAAGACCAAAAGACCATATTTTAGAAAGTAAGTAAATTTTGAAATACCAAGTGATGAAAAATATCAATGGGCTTGATTCTTACGACAACCCTGAAGTTTCCCCCAGGTTTACAGCAGGAGGCGCTGAGCTTGAGTGAGGGCCTGAAAAGGAAGCGGGATTCTGGGAAGACCGTATCTCATTGTCCAGCCAATTTCAGAGCAGATACAAAACCCAAATTATGAACTTGGGCAATTAGATGGGACCTGAAGAGTAGGCTGAACCTTAGGAAGGCTTGCACGGTACCCTGACACAACTATATCAAATAGCCATGGAAAGAAGAAAGGGTTATTTACATATGCCAAGACCTGAGAAAAAGGGTGGAGCGGAAGCATCCTGCTGAAGTGGCCTCAAGGTCCTTTCAAGTAGGTACAGGTGTGTAGCCTAATATAAACACAGCAGGAAAGACGGAGACTTACCATAAACTGCAAAGTGTTCAGTCCATCTAAACGTACTCAAACTTCAATAATACATAATCAAATAAACCACCACACTGCCCTGAGTCATCAGCAAGATATGTCCCACTGGCTCACATTTTGCCTCCTACACTAAAAAGTAAATTCTAAAAAGTAAATTCTAGATCATGACATGAGCCAAAGTCGGACGCTTAACTGGCTGAGCCACCTGGAAGCCCCAAGGTCTTCTGACCGTTTATAGTTTTTAAAGTTTTAATAATGTTTACTTATTTTGGGGGGGGGGGGAGAGAGAGCATGAGCAGGGGAGGGGAAGAGAGAGGGAGGCACAGAATGTGAAGCAGGCTCCAGGTTCTGAGCTGTCAGTACAGAGCCTGAAGCGAGGCTTGAACTCACGAACTTGGAGATCAAGACCTGAACCTAAGTCGGATGTTTAACCGACTGAGCCACCCAGGCGCCCCATGACCATTTCTTAAGTGGGTTGTTTGTTCTTTGGGTGTTGAGTATCTCTTGATAGTAGAGGATGAGAGGATGAACTGGCATATAGTTCAGGATTAAATAACTGGTATGGGAATTTCAAGAAGAATTAAGAGTCTTCTAATCAGTGACTTCTAAAAGAGTATATTATAAGCCATGAAAGTGACAAGCAAATATTCATAATTTTATTGTAATTGGTGGTGAAAATTTTGGCATGCACTCATGTGGAAGGACAAAGGAACATTTGCTCAGAATGAGCAGGGTGGCAGAGACCGTGAGATGGTAAAGAGGACAGGGAGTATATTAAAGTTTCTCAATGTAAAAGTGAAAATACTTTAAACATGAAAATGTATAAAGGAAAAATAATTTCACCCAGAACAAAGTGTCAATACAAATATAGATGTTGATGAAGTTATAGAAAGTTATAGCATATTGTATATATATGTGTATATATATTGTGTATATATGATAAGTAGCTAGATAAATCAGATATATTACAGTTATATATACATGGTACCCAAAAGAAAAAACGCCAGGTTTTAACACTAACGGTCTGTGGGAAATGGATTATAGAGCAGTTTTATTTCCTACAAAGTATACATTGTACAAGTAGTACAACCGCCTATGTTCTTTTTACCCTTCTGTGTGTAGAGTTTATCAACTCTTCCTCTTGGTCCTGTGAAACTGGGTTGCAGATGGGGGAGGAAGATAAGAGGCCTCCATTGGAGAAGGGCATTTTGTTATCAGGGCAAAGTCAGCTTTCACATGAGTCATGGAGGTAGGAGGAATATTATAGAAAAGCTGAGGATGATGTGGCATAATTCTGTCCCTCGGCAAGTATACATTGTGTTTATTTTTTTTACTCCTGCCTCTGACTATAGTGACAGTTTTCTCCACTTTAAAAAATTTTAAAATACACAGGCTGCATCTTGAATTTCCATTTCCTCATGTCCAATTCCAGTGGCTTCCCTTTGTGATCTAAAGCCAATGGCACAGAGTAACAGAATCGTAAAGTTAAGCATCTCAAAGAGGTTAGATTCTGTAT